AAGTTTTCTTTAAAAAGAAATTTTCTCCTTTAAGGAAAGCACTGAGATCCATCTTTAGATTTCATGATGATTCTCTGCAATTCGATCTCCCTGCATAAGTATCTATATATGTTCTGAGCTTTCCACAGACTAAGTCAAATCCTATTCACTTCAGTAACTGAACTCTTCAGATCAGTTATGTTTCACATACCATTATATCAGCTATCTGGAGTATCACTATCATGTTTTTAGTACTGTAATGATAATTATAACATTAAGGCATTATGACAAGTCAGAGGCAGAAAAAGTGCACAAAGTGTTCAGATTGATTCTATTGGTTTGAGCAAACGATTTCATTAAAAGAACCCTGAAAATATGAAATACAAACCACTCACCTGCTGGAGTGTGAACTTCAAAAATAATCAAGAACTGACCTTCCAGTTGCTGAATAGCCTGGGCTGATTGAAGTGCCTGTTGATTCTTGTCTTGGAAAAACTTTGAATTTTCATCTTTCAGAGTATCACAGGCAGACTGGTGCTCTCTTTCAGCGTTTTGAAGACCCCAGATGAGAGTGTTCTCTTGCATTTCTGCATTGTGCTTCTTCACAAAAGCATCATACCGAGCCTCTGATTCAGCCTGGACTTGGCCTGAGTGCCCAGACTGCCCCCAAAGATGATGTTTCTCTTGGAGAAGCTTGGAATTTGCATCCTTCAGAGCATCACAGGCAGACTGACAATGGAATAATATCCATAACGTATAAGAGACTCAACTTACCAGCAATAAAACAAACACTCCTATTTAAAAATCTGCAAAGGACATGAACAGACATTTCTCAGAGGAAGATATACAAATGGCCAAAAGGTATATGAAAAAAATGTGCAACGTCACTAATCATCAGGGAAACATTAATCAAACCACAATGAGATATCATCTTAGATGTCTTAGGGAACTCATAGACGGTAGAAATGGAAATTAGAACAGCCATTATGGAAAACGGTAGAGAGATTTCTTGAAAAACTCAAAACATATGACTCAGCAATTCCACTACTAGGTATTTATCCAAAGAAAAAGAACTCCATGTTCCAAAGGCTTTTCTTCACTCCCATGTTTATATCGTGCAGCACTATGCACAGTAGCAAAGATGTGGAATCTACTTAAGTGTCCAACAATGCATGAGTGAATAAAGAAAATATAATGTTTATATTACACACCTGGCCAATTGTTTGTTTTTGTGTGCATACACACACACACGCATATACACACATACATATACACATAAATGTCAAATATCTATCTCCATTAAAGAGTATGAAATGCCACATGGATGGATGGAACCGGAAGTCATTAAGTGACGTGAAACTAGCTAGGCACAGAAAGACAAACATCACGTATTCTCAGTCATACTGGGAGCTAAAAAACTTGATCGAGAATAGAAGGATGGACACCAGAGCCTGGTGAGGGTGCACGGCTGGGTGGGGGCCAGAGGTTGAGGAGAGACTGTTCAACAGGTACAAGCCTACAGTTGGGAGGAGCAAGTTCTGATGTTTGGTAGCAGAGCCAGGCCACCGTAGGGAGTAAGAACACATCGCATATTTCAGCAGCTGGAAGAGAGGGTCTGAACTGTTCCCAACACATAGAGATGATAAAATGGTGATCAATGCCCTAAGTACCCTGACTTAATCATGACACATGCTCCGCAGGACACAATTTCACCCGTAGCCCAGAAGGGTTTACACACGCGGCGCATCCAGAAAATAAAAAGTTGAGCATGGCGGCAGCGGCAGCGGCGGCAAGGTGACCGCCCACGGGACTCCGCGGGGTCCTCGGCG